TGATGCTTTTGAATTGTGGTGCTGGAGGAGACTCTTGAGAGTCCCCTGGACTGCAAGGAGAACAGACCTATCCATTCTAAAGGAAATCAACCCTGAGTGCTCACTGGAAGGACAGATCCTGAAGCTGAGGCTCCAGTACTTTGGCCATCTAATGAGAAGAAAAGACTCCCTGGAAAAGACCCTGATGTTGGGAAAATGTGAAGGCAAGAGGAGAAGGGACGACAGAGGATGAGATAGTTGGACAGTGTCATCGAAGCTACCAACATGACTTTGACCCAACCTCAGGAGGCAATGGAAGACAGGAGGGCCTGGCGTGCTCTGTTCCATGGTGTCACAAGGAATCGGACACAACTAAATGACTAAACAACGACAACAGATAGCAGCTTTTTTTCCTACCGAGGTTCCCGGACCTTAATAACCACTAGCTCATCAAAGACAAGTTAAGTTGAGAATTTTTAGTAGGAAGAAAAAAAGTGGATTCTTTTCACCCTTAGTTTTGGATTTTGCACAAGGACCACGTGTTGTTGTTTTTTCCACTTTGAAACACACCCTGAAAAGTAAGGAGAGTAATATCTGTCACTAGAACAAGATGTCACATTAGAAGACCGATGGTTTTATGGCATAACGTTTCACAGTTGTGCTGGCTTCGGGGGAAGCCCTACTGCTTTGGTTTCCAGCAGAAATGATGCAGCTGAGGAGAATAAGTTACGGAAAAAGGTTCACCTGCTGCCCTGTGTCAAAGTTGTTTCTGAAGACGGTGGAAGGAAGAAGCGCGTGCATAACGTTTTTAACCAAGAATCCGGTTGTTTGGCTTTAACTTCATTCATGTCACAGGTGTCAAATTGCTGATGATGGCAGGGGGAGAAAAGCACTTGTGGAAAATCACATCTTTAAGGCCGAAAGAGGAACGTGAGAAGGAAAGGAGCGATTTTAGAGTTGCTGAGGAGGCATTTGGAGAGGAATCGAAACTAAAGGCAGAAGAAAGGCGTTTTTCTGATTTGCTTCCTTTAAGGGTGTTGTTGACGAGTGTCTGGCAGTTTTCTTTGCCGAGTCCCGCTGAGAGAGCAAAAATGTATGGGACGCGAGCAGGGGGCGGCAGCGGCAGCCGCCCTGACTGGAGGGCTGCGGCTTCTTCCTCGGACTCTCGCAGGTATCAGGCAGGGGATTGCTTCTCGCAAGGAGAAGCAGCCCGCAGAGACGCTCGGGATCAGGAGACGTCGGAGGGCCAAACGCCCTCCTTGGGATTGCCCGAGCCCCGGTAAGTAGCCTGCCCTGGTGGTCTTGGCGAGCGGGAGGTCCTCAATGCTCCTCTGATCCTCCGCCACACCGGCGACAGGCGCCAGAGAACTTCTCTGGATCAGGAAGACATTCTTTTTCCAGAAGTAAAACATTTTTTTTCAAGAAGTAAAACGCCAGGGATGGGAATATTCGGTCGCATCTGCCCCAGTTCTGTTCTCAGTGGCAGAAAAGTACAATAATTCTGGGTGAAATGTAATTTCAGGGTGTAGCTGGGAGCCTCACAGGACTGACTACTGCTCCTTGGAAGAAAAGGAGTCTTTACATGGAAGGGTGGCATATTGGAGAAGAGATCCCGAAAGCCTTTGCCTGGCATGGATAGGGGATAGATGGTTCTTCTGTTGGTGTTGTATTAGCTTTGCCCTGTGGTAACTGTATAGACACCTAGTTATTTGCATTTTAAAATTGTCTCATGAAAGAAAATTATTTGGGCAGCTTATGGTATAAACATTAAAAAGTGTGTCCGAATAAAACAGGACATTTGAAGAGCTTTATAGGAAAATGCTATCTTTCACAGAAAAGGCAAGACTACACTTCCCCTTTTTCTTTTCCTCCTGTTGTCACTGTTGCTCTGACATGGACAGAACTCTCTTCTGAAGAGCTTTTGTGTACACTAAAGTTGAATCGTGATGAACTATTTTAAAGGGAATTTATAGATGATCCCTTTAGCTGAAATGTCCTATCCTGTCAGCAGCAGGCAGAGTTGATGCATCCTTCTAGTCACTGCCATAATTGTATATGAAATATTCTAACAGAGAAAGAAGATGCTGATTTTAGCAAAGCGAAGGATGGGTTTCTTGGTCAGCAATTTGATTAGTTCTATGGATTTGCATTAAGTCTTTGAAGTATCTTGCATTCAGGTTCAGATCATTATTTTGCTTTCATGTGGAAGGCTAGTTTAAGGGAGGGGATGGATTGTCACATACCCTTTTGATGTAACATGTATTGATGATGTCTGGTATATAATCTAGGTACGTATGTTTGATCATGTTTCATGGGTGAGTTTAAGATTCAATAAGACCACACGCTGCCTGCAATATTTGTAATGATATGGCCAGACTCCTGATAACTGACATGACCCCACTGAAAACAGGAAAGAGAAGACGAAAAGACATGGGCGTGTCAGTTTCTGAAAATAATTGTACAGACGTTTGAACAAGAGGAACCAGTGGTCTCATAGGTATTTGTATTGGAGCATTGTCTTCTAAGTGGAATAAATACATCATTCATTACTAACCTTTGCCCATCCAGACCCATAGTCCATAATGTATGAAGGATGAGCAAACAGCATAAGCATTTGCTAGGAGCAGGGAAGGAAAAAGGGGAATAAATGCTAATTAATGATAATGTATAGTTGGAGAGCCATGCTTTAAAATAGTGTTCGCCAACCTGGCACTTCCCAGATGAGAGTGCAGTTCTTATCTCTCAAGCTAGCAATGAGATTGTGACAATTGTAGCCCAAAGCATCTAGGAAGTGCCTGATTGGGGAAGCCAACTTAATCTCTAAAAAGAGCCAATCTGAAGGTATAAAACACAAAATGCCACTCAGGCAGGGGTGGTAAAAGCTAAGTAGGGAGGACACTGGCTTTGTCCAAGGCTTCATAAGCCTGTTTTTGCACTCCCCTCTCCTTCCCCAAACTATAGTTTCCCTAGCCAAAAGGAAAATAAAAAAGCTTCACCTCTCCTTTTAAACGAATTGCAGGTTAGCATTCTGCATTACTTTTGGGTTTATCTGAGCACAGCACAAATGGACATTCAGGTACTCTCTACACACCTACTCTGGGAAACACAGAGGGACAGTTCTCCAAACACTCATGGGAAACAATGCTGGTCAATTTCACTCTCTCCATAGTTGCTCCAGACAGGTCAAGCTGTCACAAAGTGGGCTAGTGCTCTTGAGTCTCTCCTTTTTGCAATCTCTACAACTCCCAGAAGATCTGGAAGGGAAAAGATTGGCCCTCAATCTGCTGAATTTGTCCACCTTTGCATTGGGGAACCACAAAAATATACACTGTTTTCTGCTTTAACACTGTCTAATACCTTAATGTTTGGTAAGGCTTCAAGATAGTTAAAGCAGAAAAACATGGTATCTATTGCTATTTAGCACCTTAATATTTATGGATTCCCAGTGTTTTGTAGTGGATCGAGTAATGTATTCAGACTCTGGAGAACAAGGTTTGAATCCCCACTCAGCCATGGAAACTCACTGGGAGAGTGGAACTGGTAAAACTAATCCTTAATATCTTACTTACCTTGAAAGGCTATTAGGGTGGCTATAAGTCTGTTTCTTCTTGATGGCACAGAACACACACAGAGAGACAATATCTTAACTAAGTAGGTCTTTTGTACTAAGATTTCAAGCTCTGATTTTACTATTAAAACAATGGAACAGTATCTTTAAGATACTGTACAGCTGCAGCACAGCTATATCACTGTTTTGTGGGATTGTTTTTAATTAATTACATACCATCAAGTCAATTCTGACTTATTTTGATCCTTGCGAAGTTGGCTCTTGAACACCTGATCCCACCAGGTACTTTGGCCTCATTAAGGCTTCCAGCCAGCTGACAGGATTGTTCTGCAAAGCTTGAATGCTTTTGGATCCTCTTCTGTCAGATTGTACAAAAGGGTTTTGTGAGTTTTCCATGGAACTGAACTGTGCATGAAACCCTTGTCTACGTGATCTTAAAAGATTTATTGCACTTTCATAGCGTGCTAACATTTCCCGTGTACACCTTCGTTTTACAGCATCTAAAAAAAGAGTAGAACATTTATTACAAAAAACTACAGAAGTTTTTTTCTGTCATCCTGCTATCATGCAAATATATGTGAATCTACATCTTCTGAGATGGAGCTTGCAGGAGAATAATTAACAATTAAGTTTTTCCCTGGGAAATTAAAGTTCATCTTTCCTGCTACTGAAGTTTCTGTCCTGGTACTTTACTCCTTGACCTCTTCCTATGGCTTGGCATTGCTGTTGACTTCCAACAACATATGTGACTTTTTTTTTCAGAGGTATAATTTCAGGTGCGGATGTTGGTGTTGTTAAATATGTGATAAGTCTTGTCGGTATCAGGTACCACAGATTAGTTAATTCTAAGGAAGAATGAGCATTGAGGCTAATACGTACTGTTACTTCATCTGTAATGCTGGTTCATCATACTGAATGCCACATGGATATGTTGCAGTTCTGTATAGGTATGATTGTTTTATATTGTTCTGAGTCATGCAAAGAAATAAAATGTCCTGATGCTTTGGTGAAACCAAGGACCAAAGTCCATCTTTTGACTGATGAAAGGATGAGACCCATTTGCACAATGAATCTGGTATTGTATGGTGATGGGAATTGTAGTCCACATCATTGGGACAGTCACATTTCCCCCAGTTCTGATATGCAGTACAAACATGGTTTGTTTATGTAAAACTTGGTAGTGGGAGGAGATTTACCTCCTTTTCTGGTAACTGCCTTGAAAATTAAAGGCTTGTCCACTATAAAAGATTTATTGCACTTTCATAGCGTGCCACCACGTACTTCCTTTTCTGGTAACTGGCTTGAAAATTAAAGGCTTGTCCACAGTCTTCTCTTCTCCCTTAGTAACAGGTAACATCGTTTCTTGAGAGGCTGATTACCAGTTATGCTTAGGGGGAAAAACCATCATAACAGTATATTATAAATCTTTTGTTGAAATTTTATTTTCTGGTCATTAATCATCTCATATTATTCATGATACAACTCATGCAGTTACTCCAGATATTTAATAATCGCTTCACATTTATATTCTTGCTTAATAAAATCAGTAATTCAAATCAGTTCCTCAAGTTGACGGTCTTGGCGAAGAAACACCTCTCTCTGGAGATGCAGCCAAAATCCATGTGAAGTCCTGGATCTTTATGCTACAGTGCTATTTTAACTACCAATGTGTCTTTCTAGTTAATCACTGGGTGATAACTTCCCTTTCTTCTCTTTCCTCTTCTAGTTTGGGTGCACATGTTGCAGTACCTCCAAATCCAACACGAAGGGCTCAGTTGCAAAGAGGTAAGTATGTGGCCAGATAACCAAACTCTATCTAGTGTGTAGCCCTGGGTATGTCTGCAAATATGTATATGGAGCCTATTGGTTGCTTGATACCTTTTGATGGCAGGTACCTGGATATTGGCACACTGGGAAGTGGCTATATCGTTTGTCCTGACACACCACATGCCACTTGGGTTATGTGTTAACTAATAGAAGTGTTGATGGCACAGTGGTTTGATGCAGTGCAGCTTCCTGTATTGTATGCACACCTGGCTTTTAGTATAAAGCTCACTTTGTAACTGGTATATTTTCTGAGATGGGAAAGTATGTAGAAAATAGTTAATAGTTTTGTTATCTAATTTTGAGTTCAACCTAAACTTAGCTGAATTTGATTTTTTTTTGAAGAGGATCAATTTTTAAGAGTGACATTAATGGCAACATGTCATTTAAGTTAGGTGACTAACAGAAAACCGTATAAAAAAAATAGAAAACCTCTGCCCATTATTTTACTTCTCTCTAACTCCATCCCTGTTTTGACTTTTGGAGAAGAGGAAACAGCTACATGAGTTTTTGAAAACCTTATTTCCCATGCATTTCACTGAAACCTTCCTCTTGCTTTCTGTTTTCCCCTCCCTAATAATTTTCTTATTCCTTCCTTCTCTCTCTCTCTCTCTTTGTGTGTGTGTGTGTGTGTGTGTTTATAAGTTACTCATTCCCAAGTGGATCCCTGACATAGTCCCAGGAGTCAAAATTCAGTTTTCTGGGGCAGAGGAGCCATCATGCACGGTCTTTTTTCCCTATTAAAGCAACAGTACAAATGCCTTGTGAGCAAGAGCAAAGCACAAATTATCGGACTGGGTGCTTGCTTTAGAGTCTGTGAAATATAGCTAATATTTCTGCTTCTACTATGATTTCCTGTAAAGTACACAACTGGTGGTTTAAATTGGCCCATTTTGCATTGCAAGTCAATAAGGCCTGCATACTTTCATTACTGGTAAAAGGTAAAGAAGAAAGTTGGAATATATATGTTATCTGGATGAACTGCCAGATAGATAAAACAAGTGACAGTTATTGTTCTGTTGGGAGTTTGCTTGTCTTACTATGTCTGATAAGGAAGATAATAAGAATATATTATATGTCTCTCCAGCAGAAGTCTGCATCAAACCAAATGTTTAAAGCATCATTTGTTTACTGTATACAGTATCTGTAAAATAAACTTACTTAAAGGTTTTTACCATGACCATGTGAATATTATTTTCAATTGTTGGCACACACAATGGAGAATACTATCCATGATTTTTTTTCTAATGCTACTGTCGCACACCCCCAGTGTCCCCTGTTTGTTTTCCCACTCACACGGGTTCACCTTTGGCCACTTGTTCTTTTCACCCTTTTATGCTGCCACCAGAGGATATTACCCTCACTGTACCAAATATGAATCTCAGACTATTGCTGCCAAATATAACAAAGTTTATTAATGGTTTGGTAGGTAAATCACAGAAGTAAAATCATTGATGTTCTTTTATTATTCATTCAATAAACGTGGATTTGATTACATGTACGCTTGTTTGAATTCGTTCACTTTAATCAAGGTTTCAATATATTCCATCTATGTATTTCTTATTACTGTTAACTCTTTAATATTCTCTAACATACCAACTTTCCAATCTCTTGTCTAAACACTTCACAATCTCTACCTTAACTGACTCTCTATCTCCCTAGTTCTGTTGACTCCGCCCCTCCTGTCTTGTCATAGGCCCCTGCACTAGAGCTCTAAAATGACTGACAGGAGTGACGTGTGGGCTGTTCGCCACAGCTACCCTTGAAGCTCTATGTACAAACTCTCATACAAAGAGAAGGTTCTGGTAAAAAATAAGTTGTTAAAGCATGGTTTGGGAAGTTTAGTTTAAGTATGGAAACCATAGTTATACTGTATAATCATGTTACATTATGTTATTTGTCATGTAAATTCTCAGCAAACAGATAAGCATAAGCTGTCTGATCTTTTGTCTGTTTCTGCCACGTCACATCTGTCAGTTTTCAACAGCAGTATTTTTCCAACTGCACATTTTGCATCCAATTACATCCTAAAAACCCAAGTCCACATGGTTGTTAAATATAGAACACCTATCTTGATGCCAAAAATACTAATCCCCCCCATTCCAAGCTATCCTTATTATCTATTGGTTTAGACTCTTTAATCTTGCGCTATAAGGCTAATTAAATATTGATGGCTACCAGGTTCAGCATGTATTATTTGAAGTTCTTCACTCTATACATGCTTGTGTAGTGAAGCTTAGTGGTAGCCACAAGGGATTAGGGGACTGGTAATTTTTTGAGAGGCACCCTGTATGGAACCTAATAGGTAGAGATGCTAGCAGTTCCCTTATCCCTTGCAGCTCCCTCTGAGTTAAGTCCTCTTACTCATTTCCTTCATCTTGTTCACAGGAATAAAATGGCTGCCAAAGCATTATTATTCACTTGTAGTAAGTTAAAAACTTCTGTGAGGAGTTCAATTTCTTGGTGAAAGCCCTTAGAATTCTGACTAAGGAAATTCCTGGTGAATTCTGGGGGATGAAGTCCAATAAATAAAAAAGTTCAGCCCTAGTTACTTAACTATGCAAACTGATTCAGCTTTTCTGAGAAATAAATCTTCCTGTGCCCTTACTCATATGGATATAGTGGGATTTATACTTTTAAGTAGACTTTCTTTAATCATAGAACCTGAGTTGAGTACCTAAATTGCTGTGATAGGTTACACTACGACTCCCTCTCAATCTTATTAAATGTTGTTGTTTATGTACCATCATGCTGTTTCTGGCTTATGGCAATCCTCTGAGTTAATGACTTCCAAAATTTCCTGTTATTAAAATCCCTGCTTAGGTCTTGCAGATTAAGTCATCATAATTTTTACCTGGGAAAAGCCCAATTGAACTTAGTGGAACTTACTTCAGAGTACATGTATAAAGGATTGTGCTCTCATTGATTTTAACCCCTACCTAAGGATGCAATTCGAAAAGTAAGGGAACATCCCTCCCACTTTGAATCATCCAGATGAGTACAATAATTGTTAAAAGTGTGTCTGAGCATCTCATATTCTCACATAGGCAGAAGGTAAAATTTCTGGTGAAAGAGGATCAGGCTTGCAAAAACAGGAGGACTGGAGGCAGAAAGAGATTTGTTGCATTGAGAGACCACAGAAGGTGTTATGTGGGAATGGTTGGTAGTCCCTGATCTGAGTTCAAAGGGAGAATCCACAAGCATCTCAAGCATACATCTTGCAAGTCTCATCTCCCCAGCTTGGGCTGAACACAATCTGCAGGCCTGATCTAGTGATATCTTTTAAGCCATTTGCCTCACTCTCAGAAAGATTTTCCTAGTGTACCAAACCAGGGCTGGAGAATATTTGACTTCTTTTTCCTTTTCATCCCTGCCCCTCAGGGAAACAAACTGCTTAGGAAATTTACATCCAGAAACTTCAGCTGTTTTAAATCCTGCAGCCAGACTGCTGACTGATGATGATAATAGGGAGCATGTAACTTCCTTATTACATTACCCTCACTGGCTGCCTGTCTGTTTCTGGGCCCAGTTCAAAGTGCTGGTTATTACTTGCGAAGCCTTATATGGGTCAGGCGACAATAAGAATTGTATCACCCCAGATAGGCCTTCTCAGCTTTGAAGATCTTCTAGGCAGGCCCTAGTCTTGGTTCCAGTAAGAATTGTATCACCCCAGATAGGCCTTCTCAGCTTTGAAGATCTTCTGGGCAGGCCCTAGTCTTGGTTCCTGCACCCTTCCAAGCTTGTTTGGTGAGGACACCAAACTGTAGGCTGGTTATACGAGTAACTCCCAGGCTGTGGAACACCTTTCCAAGCTTGTTTGGTGAGGACACCAAACTGTAGGCTGGTCTACGAGTAACTCCCAGGCTGTGGAATGTGCTGCCCTGAGAAACCAGGTTGGTCCCCTCTCCCTCTTATCCTTCCATGGTCCGACAAAGACCTTCCTCTTCAGGCAGGCTTTCAAGCAGTAAGTGCTTCTGCAATTTTGTTTTTATTAACTTGCATGTTTTAAAACAGGGGTTTTAAACTCAATTTACCTGGGGGCCGCTAGAGGCAGAGTCTGGGTGAGGCTGGGCCGCATCAGATTTTCCGCCAACAGATAGGTGGTCTGGCTGGCAGGCTGCAGTTCTAGATGGAGGGTGCAAGAGGTGCTGTCTTGGGAGAGAGCCGTGCTGCCCTGAGAAACCAGGTTGGTCCCCTCTCCCTCTTATCCTTCCATGGTCCGACAAAGACCTTCCTCTTCAGGCAGGCTTTCAAGCAGTAAGTGCTTCTGCAATTTTGTTTTTATTAACTTGCATGTTTTAAAATGTGTTCAAATTCTTTGCTTTTAACCTTAATATATGTTTAATTATGTTTAATATGATCTCTATATAGTATTTTTAATACAGTTATTTGTTTTATAGTTTTAGTTGTTGTGAACCACCTTAGGTCCCCTATGGAGAGGAAGCGGACATACAAATACTGAGGCGAGGGCCACAAACTATCATCTGGGGGGCCACAAATGGCCCCCAGGCTGCATGTTTGAAACCCCTGTTTTAAAATGTTTTCAAATTCTTTGCGGCTAACCTTAATATATGTTTAATTATGTTTAATATGATCTCTATATAGTATTTTTAATACAGTTATTTGTTTTATAGTTTTAGTTGTTGTGAACCACCTTAGGTCCCCTATGGAGAGGAAGCGGACATACAAATACTGTAGTATACATACCTACAAACATAAGTGGTGGAAGACAGAAAAGAACATGGCTGCAATCTTGGCTCCTTAAGCTGTGCTGCCTTCAGCAGAGGGCTGGGGTGGGATGCTGTGCAGACTCTGTGGTGACTGTAGCCATCAAGGTTGTTTGTCAGGATCTGTCTTCATTGAGACAAGGCAACGGAAGTGGGGATAAGTTTTAAGTTCCAGCTTATTTCTATCAATTAAAGCATAAATGTTAAACAGAATTATCCTCCTTTTGATAACATTTGACTTCTATTACTGTTCATCTCTGTCATTTTTATAGCCTTTGCAGTTCATTTGGATGTTGGTGCAGCATCAGTCCATCGTGGACTATGTGTAGAACCTCAAATTCATAAAATGTTAATATGGTTCCCATTTTTATGTGGGCATTGCTGTTTTTGATTGTAAGACTATGATTTAAATTATCCTAAACTGTCATTAAGTATATCCTCTGATACAATATCCTGATTTCAGTGAAACATACCGGTCAGAATGCTTTAGGGGATTTATACCAGTGTATGTTAAATTGCATAAACTGTGAGAACAAATTGCTGATTATTAATGAGTTACTGCTCACATTCCTAGTTATTGGCCATTTGCATGACTTGTCATGTGACTCTGAATGCAAATTGCAGCTTGTTAATTAGCCATTCGCTGCTGCAATTTATACAATTACTCTTATACCAGCATTAATTGTCAGTAAGATTTTTCCTACTGGTCATTTTCTAGTAAGTATAGGAATTGGTCTTAAAACTTTGTACATGAAGATCCTGATAACCTTCTGAAGAAACACAATACAAAGATGCTGAGGCAGGTAATATTGCAGTAGGCCATTTGTTTGCTTCAGGCATACAGACCAGCTTTCCATTTGTGTGTATATTTATGTACTACTACATGGACAGACCTTCAGGTATTTGAAATAAATCTGAGCAATTTTATTGCTTTTCTTTTAAAAAGCACCCACTACCTTGCTCAATAGTAATTTGCTAATTTATGATTATTTTAATTACTTAACTAAGAATGAAAAAACAAAAAACAAAAACCTCAATACCCCTAAAAGAACACCTCAAAACCAATCACCATTATAACATTTAAAATAACAATATAGTATCTACATTTATTCCTTGAAGCAGTAAAAAAGTAATTATGTCACTGATTGTAGTAAGTCCAGGCTCTGTGAATGTCATTTTACCATGGACTAAACATATATATGTTCATAGGCCCTTGTGAATGGAAAGCTTGTTCTTAGTGGTTCTTTGGATTTTTCTGTTTCTTTTGCCCTTAAAGTGATCATTTTGGAACCAATTTTGATTCAAACTTTTTAATGCTTCTTCTGTGCTTCGCCAAAGGATTTTCATTCTTTATCTCCTTTACTTTGTTTCAGTTGCTAATAAAGAGCTAGAAGACCTGGCAAAATGGAAGGAACAACACAAGCCTGGGCCAATTACCTTGACACCTCAGAAACTGGGTAAAGTAAACAAACAAATAAATGGAGACAAGACAGTACCTTCCTTACAAAAAACACAGAGGCTTGAGGAATAAACTTCATTTTTACTGATTTGAAGAATTTAAATAATTTTTCAGAATTCAGTAACAGTGAGAATAAAAGGTGTCTGCACTTTAAGAAACTAAAGCTTTAGTGGCCAAATGGTGAACATTCTTTAACTTTCAAACCTTACGGGTTGTTATTTTGCCTTGAATATATACTTTGGAATTTTTCATTTATGGAAACAGTGCCTGTCTATAACTAGTAGTAAGCCAACTTTTATCATCAACTAATTTATGAAGCTAGAGGGCAGGGGACAATTCTGTTTACAAAATGCATTGTCAGTTCTGTGATAGAACCCTAACCAATAAATGGGGGTTTCATAATTTTTTGTGCGTGTCAGAAAAACATAATATTTCTTGATCAAATTGCATGACTTGACAGTGGAGGCAATAGTCTGTTTTTGCTCTTGGTCACCCATATAATGTATTTCATAAATTCTTATCTGAAGCTTCAAAATGTACTATTGAATAGTTTGGGAAGGTTGATGAAGTGTTGGAAGTGATGGGAAATAGTAATGAAGTATTGAACAGAGGCCAAAGGCCCAGATTGTCTGCTTGAGAGGCTGATTCAGCAATATTTTGGAGGATTTATAGTTTACTTTGTAATATAACAGAAATTCAGGTTGCTTTCATAGTCAAGCCCTTCAGCACTGCTGAGACATTGCTTTTTATAATTAGTTGGCAGTGGAATTCAAAATGAAGGTTCCACATAGCATAATAATAACAGTACAGTGCCTTCCTCTTCCATAGAAGTTTCTATAAGCAATTTCTATTCATTAGTAGGCTTTTCCTGTGTTAAAACTTTTCTATCTGGAGGTTTTTCTTCTTTTACTGTGAACATGGTAATGAATAATCTCTAATTTTCTTTATTAACAACATGTTTAAGTTGTTGCTCTGTTCCTTTTTATGCAATAAGAATTAATTATACATTTAATTTCTTTAGGGTTTTTGTTGTGGCTGTTTCTTAGTTAATACCCCATATGAATTCAAAGTAGCTGAACATTATAAAAGGTTTTAGAAAGCATTAACCAATGGGATTTCTTAGAATTCCATTAATTCTATTCATTCTATTGAGGAGGCGCTGGCACAATGAGCCTCATGGAACACTAGTTAAACTGCAGTGCTGCAGTCAGGACTCTGCTTACAGCCTAAGCCCATTGAGTTCAATCTTGACGGGCTGAGATAGCCAGCTCGAGATTGACTCAGCTTTCCATCCTTCCAAGGTTAGTAAATTGAGTACCCAGTGTGCTTTAGGGGGTGGGGGTGGCAGGGCAATATGTAGCCTGCATAATTAAATTATAATCCACCTAGAGAGTGCATTAAGTGCTATGAGATGGCAATAAGCAGCACACTTTGTATTGCTTTGCACATGCTAATAAAGGAACATTTAAACTTCCAGTCCAGTGGTTCTCAACCTGGGGTAACCTAGCAGTTCATGGAGTGCAATTCCAAGAAACCCTGGTCAGCACAGCTAATGGTTGAAAGCTTCTGGGAGTTGCAGTCCTGGATTACCCAAGGTTGTAAACCACAGTTCTAATCAGTTGTCTGAAAATGTTAGGCTTATATCTGTGGGCAGTCACTGCATTAAGAGGGAATCAGTGTCACAACTGTTGGTACACAGATGTTTTGCTCATTCTTAATAACAACAATTCCATAATTTTTTTTCAAGACCTCACAAGCCCTGGTAGTACAGATTAGTCTAAGCACTCAAAAGAGTATAATGCATTGAAATAAAATGTCTGTGCTTTTTAGTGCAGAAAGAGAAACATTGTTTTAAGACAAGCATATAAAAATGGACTGAATTAGGAGTACTTGTGTGACTTGCGAGTAATTATGGGGTGGAGTAAGAACCTCTGGTTATCCACTGGGCAAAGCTGTATCAGTAGAGATCTCTTGTGTGTCATCAGAACAAGGAACACTTTCCTCCACCACCCCCACCCGCGAACTGAATGCTCATTTTACTGATCTTGGAAGCATGAAAGGCTGATTCACCCTTGAGCTGGCCAGCTTCCTGAACCTGTTGTGAGCAGAGGCATGGGTGCAGTACTGCAGTTTAACCACTGTGCCAAAGAGACTTGCTTATCATCCCACCCCTCTTCACAACAGGGGCAAAGGTGGCTTACAAAATACATTTCAAAAAGTAAAGAAAAAAATTAAAAACTCTGTGAAATTATAGTCTCAAAACAGGATTAAATAAATTATCAAATTAAAAGACACACTAAATTAATGCCATCAAAAATCATTTAAAAATGAAAGCCAAAAATAAGTCCCAGCCTTTAAAGGTGTTTCGATGTAATTTGATCACTGGCCAAAAGGTGCGTAAAAAGGAAAATGTTTTTGTCTGCCACTGGAAGGACAGCAGGGAGAGTTACAGCCTAGCTCCCCTGTAAGAGTTAAAGAAGTTTCATAACCTGGGAGCCGCCATCAAGAAGATTCTTTCTTGGCTGCAAGTGCCTGTGGGCAGGTCTTCACTGTCAATTGAACACTTTCCCTTTCAGTCAAACACGGCAGTTGAAAGGGAGTGAGTGGCGAGAAATATTTAACAACAAAAAAGGGGGATCAGAATCACAAAGCTGTGATGGAGTTTTTCCTCTGCTGTGCAAGGGAGCCAGAAGGAAGGTGATGAAAGTGAGTCAGCAAACAAGGGAGTCCCCTTTTTCCTTCTGTGCAAGGAAAGGAAGAAGGGAGTGGGAAAAGGGAGGGAAGACAAGCAGGAGAGATAGGAGGGCAGTAAAATATCCAGGTGAAAGGAATTGGGTTGATTTCCCCTTGCTCCTGACTGCTGTGCATGCACACCAAGCAAAGCAATGCACAGAGCGAGAAGAGGGCAAATGGCTCTGACAGCTCTTGGAGGAAGGCATGACGAAGAGGCCTCACATTACTCAAGACCTCACTAAACCATCCAATTGGAATTGGAATTATTATTTTTGCCTGAGCTAGACCACTGATACACTAAATCACTTAGATTTAATTATTTTTTTCCCTTTGCCTTGTGTGTAGTGCTGATTGAGAAATTGCCCATTGATAGATAGATAGATAGATAGATAGATAGATAGATAGATAGATAGATTGATTGATTGATTGATTGATTGATTGATTGATTGATTGATTTAATATGCCACCCATCTGGCAGCCAGGGCCACTCTGGGCAGTTTACAACAGTAACAAAACCTTAAAGTAACAAAATAATCCAACATCAAAGTTAAAGGGCAAATTAAAATATCATAAATAAAGTGAAGGACAAAGTGAAAAAAACACAGTACATACAATTAATATAATTAATAGCATAAAATATGAAGGCATATAAATTAGTGCATTATCGGAGATACAGTTGCGTCAGTAGTTGTTTCCTTTGGGAAATCCTGTCTGAACAGCTTTTTAAAGGTGCCTAATGAGGGAGCCAGGTGAACCTCAGGCGGGAGGGTATTCCACAGTTGTGGGGCAACTGCTGAAAAGGCCCGGTTTCTGGTGGTTGTTTTCCAGGCCTCTCTCAGGGTCAAAACTCTCAGGTGCCCTGCCTGTGACAATCTTATTGGACGGGCAGACCTAACTGGAAGGAGGGGCTCAGCCAGATATTAAGGTCACAAACCATTTAGGGCCTTATAGGTTAGTACCATCATTTTGAAACTGGTATGGAAGTGAACAGGTAGCCAGTGTAAGGTGGCCAGGGTGGGGGAGATATGTTGGTATTTTCTAACACCACTCAGAAGTCTGGCCGCCATATTCTGGACCTGTTGCAATCTCCGTAGCAGTCCCAAGGGCAGCCCCATGTAGAGGGCATTGCAGTAGTTTAATTTCGAGACTACATGAACCAGCCTGGTGAGAGACCTGGTGTCAAGATAGGGGTGCAGCTGGGCGATTTGCTTTAAGTAGAAATAAGCAGATGACTACCAGTGCATGAACCAGCCTGGTGAGAGACCCGGTGTCAAGGTAGGGGCGCAGTTGCATGATCCGCTTTTGGTGCAAATAAGCGGATTGGACCACAGACGCTACCTGTGATGCCATTGATAGTGCTGGGTCCAGAAGTACACCTAAGCCAAGGACCACAGACACTACCTGTGATGCCATTGATAGTGCTGGGTCCAGAAATATACCTAATCCAAGGACCTCATCCTTCATGGAAAGAGTGACCCTCCCCAAAAGACAGGTAAGCACCCAGACCACAGACACTAGAGGCCCCCACCCGCAGGATTTCCGTCTTGTCCGGATTCAGCTTCAGTCTCTTTTCCCTCATCCACCTCTTCAGCCTCAGTCTGTTTTCCCTCATCCACCTCTGCATCGCATCCAGGCAGCGCTCAATGGATGGGACAGCATCCACTGCTGAAGGATGGAAGGAGGGATAGAGCTGAGTGCCATCTGCATATTGGTGACACAAAGCTCCAAAAGATAGATGTGATTTAAGCTAGCACTACACAGAAAGGCAATTAATCTGCATATTGGTGACACAAAGCTCTAAAAGATAGATGTGATTTAAGTTAACGCTACACACAAAGGCATTTAAAAAAACTAATCTAAGTGATTAGGGACAACAGTGATGGTCTAGCAGAGAGAGAGAGAAAAATCCCCCTTCTCCTCCATAGAGGAGCAGAACAGGTACTCATTAGGGACAACAGTGATGGTCTAGCAGAGAAAACAAATCCCCCTTTCTCCTCCATAGAGGAGCAGCACAGGTACTCAATGTGGCAATATCCTGAAGTGGTTCACTTATTAAGCCACTTCACCATACCAGAAATTGACAACAGAAGGAGCTTTGACACCTGCAGTGCTCCAAAAAGTGCGAGTAGCGGTACGCTGGGGTCATATTATAATGAATATATCATGTGGCCACTGGGGAAAAAAAATAAAGAGCTAACCAATCTGTCAGAGCTCCAAACAGTGGGGCAAGTGCCCATCTGAACAAGCTCTTTGACAGTGATAAGACACAAAGAAAGACCTTTCCTGAATATTTTAGGGGCTGTATACATTCACATGGTGAGATACGATCCTTCAGATAACCCAGATTGAAGCTATATAGGGGTTTATAGTTCACGGCCACCAGCTGGAATTGTGGCTACTGAGTAGCCACTGAAGCTGTTGTAGCAAAAAATATATACTAACTGTACCTGGCTCTGCGGCCAAGGCATTTTTGGATCTGTTGACGATTCCACACCCTTTCTAAAGATAGCCATCTACAAATTGTGAATGGCAATCCAAACAGATGTAACTAAGGCATGTGTCACGAGATCAACCTTCACTAGGAAGGTGTGCAGCCGGCGCTCTAGTGCAGGTGCATTCGTTGCCATCACTGAAATCCAGGCAGCAAGGATCAAGCCTGAATCCATCTAAGCTGCAAACCAGGGTTCTTTGGGGATCGTAGCTCCAACCATTCTGACAGCAATCCAATATTGCTAGTGTCCTTGGTTATTGTTGGGATTGAAACATGAAGGTACAATGGAAGGGGTGGGCCAGATTACATTGAGGTAAGGAATGTCAGTACCATAACATATATTTTTATGCTACCTCCTGGGTATTATTTTAAATTATAAAATGATCTTAATTTAACTTTAATATATATCATAATACACTATGTGTTTTTATTTTAGGAGGAAGCGCATCAGAGGCTGAAGTGAGGCAAAAACAGCAGCTTGAACACATCCAGTCTAAATACAAGAAAAAAGTAATGTAGAAACTATCTTTAAGTTTATATGTTCGCGAAGGCTTTCATGGCCGGGATCTAATGGTTGTTGTGGGTTTTTTGGGCTCTTTGGCCGTGTTCTGAAGGTTTTTCTTCCTAACGTTTCGCCAGTCTCTGTGGGCAGCATCATCAGAGGACAGCACTCTGTGCACTGGATTTTGGAAAACTTAGGAAGAAAAACCTTCAGAACACGGCCAAAGAGCCCGAAAAACACACAACAACTATCTTTAAGTTCTTTAGCCATTGCTTAGAATCAGGACAGAACTCTTTTTGTACTGTCTAATTCAAACTTTATTTTTCTTCATAAGTGAAGATGTGTATAGAAACACATCTTTTCCCCCCTGTGGGTATCTGGGTACATATATTTTTCAAAGTCACGAACAGTACAAGCCAAAACACACTTCTGGCATCATCATTTTCTCATTTAGAAATTCTGCAAGATTTTTGTTATCCTGTATGACTGGATAGCTTAGGGATTTAGTTAACTGGCTGTGGAGCCAGAGGTTGTGACTTTGATTCTCTGCTGTGCATTCTGAGAGATGAGTGAGGCTATGTAGTCTTGGGCAAGCTGCATAGTCCCAGGGCACCCCCGGAAAAAGGGAATGATATGGCCGTGTTCTGAAGGTTTTTCTTCCTAACGTTTCGCCAGTCTCTGTGGGCAGCATCTTCAGAGGACAGCACTCTTCTGGCATCATCATTTTCTCATTTAGAAATTCTGCAAGATTTTTGTTATCCTGTATGACTGGATAGCTTAGGGATTTAGTTAACTGGCTGCGGAGCCAGAGGTTGTGACTTTGATTTTCTGCTGTGCGTTCTGAGAGATGAGTGAGGCTATGTAGTCTTGGGCAAGCTGCATAGTCCCAGGGCACCCCCGGAAAAAGGGAATGATAAACCATTCCTGTGTATTCTCTACCTAGAAAACCCTGGAATTGACTTAACACGCTATTATATATTTGAATAATGCAGAGAGTTATGACAAAGTAATCAAGATATAGTGAACTGGTTGAGAGACCCTGAGAATCTGGCTTTGAATTATCCAATCCAATTTCCCAAAAAATGAGACATCCTTGCCAGCTTGATTCCAGCATTCTGCATGCAGAGGCATAAGCTCAATTGTAGTTTATTAATGGAATATGAGTGTAAGAGAATCCATGAAACTGGAAGCCCAGTTTGTCATAGAATCATAGAACAATGGAGTTTGAAGGCCTGCTCAATTTACATTAGATTCAAAGCCTGCTGGGGTAAGTGCAAACTATAAAATAAATGCATCTTTTTTCTGGCAATAGCTAAAGAAAGAAGAATATGAAAGAATCAAGAGAGAGGCTGAAGAAGCTGACATTCTGAAAAAGAAGGCAATTCAAAGAGAGAAAGTAAGGGTCTGTTTACATTAAAGCAATAGTGTGGAATATGTGTTGGTGTAAATTTAAATTGATTTCAAGTCACATGGTATCATGTGGTGTTTGAATCACAATTTGCACTCCCTTGAAACAAACATTTAATCCAGTATTTTTAAAGAGACACCCTTGTCAAACATGCATGCTTTCTCTCCAAGCTAAGGCTGGAATACAGAGAAGCGGCAGGGCGGGCATGTGTGTATATGCCTAGTATTTTTAAAGAGACACCCTTGTCAAACTAAGCTATTCCAGCTAAGGCTGGAATACAGAGAGGTGGCAGGGTGGGCACGTATGTATATGCCTCTGGAGGAGGGAATTGCAGTAGGAAACAGCTGAGCAAACTGAAGCTAGAAAAGCCTTCGTGTGCACCGTGGTGCCTTGTGACTGCTGACGCAAGCAGGAGAGCCTGATGGTGATGGGCAGCTGACACACGCTGCGTATGTGCAAACAAGCCACACACAGAGAGAGAGAGAGAGAGAGATGGGACAGAGGAGACAGAAGCTGAAACTGGATGGATGGAGGGGGAAGAGAGAAATGGTAATGTTATGTTGTTCAGCCGCTAGTTCCAGGGTTTGTGCGTGGGCTTAGTGAAGAGACGCCTGCTTGGGTTGATCTTGCCTTATCCATCCTTCCACCTCAGGACTGGAAGAACATTTGGGTGAGCAAGTGAGTGGTGGGGTGCTCCTGGAGGCTGCTTGGCAGCTATGTTTCTCCCCCACCCCCTGCTTTTAACACAACAACAGGGGCAAGTGACCGATTAGGCATTCACGTAGGGGGAATCAATTTAAATGCGTCAATTCCACATCCACATTAAAATAAACAGACTTCTGGCAGAGGATTAAAAAAACTCCCTTCCTCTTCAAAAAGTACTTTCCCCCATCAAATTAATCCACTATTACTCATGCATCGTGTATTCGCCCATTTTTACAGCAATTCAAAAGAGCGTACACCTGAATTAAATAGGGGTTTATTATCAATGTAACCACCTTCTAAGATAGACACACCTGGGATGGGATAGCTTCTCTCCTTCACTCTTATTGAGATGGGTGCCTACATGGAAGTAATGCATTTCAAAATAATATTGCTACTCATCTTTTTTTTTTAAATGGGGCAATATTTTCCTTTTGTCTCAGTAAATGTTTGTCTTGTGTTATGCATAACATTTTATCATTTGAAAATATTTGTGGGACAGTTCTTTGGGCTGATTTGAACACATTGTAGAAAGTTTTAAATCAACTGAAAATTAAATGTTAGTAATGTGCTATTAATGAGTAATATTGCTGATTACAAAAGTAGCATCCAGTGAGTCACTTTGGGGGAAAAATGCTTTTCCAGTAATATTTCTAGGCTCTGGGTGTATATGCATGCACACAAATTAACACTATTTCATTGTTGTAGGTGATGTAATTGTCTCAATGAAACATCTCCTTCCCTTTTTCAAAGCATTACATTAATCCATTAAAGTCTTATTCATATTTAATTCTAAACCATAGTTTACTGTTACATCCACAAGTATAAAGCTTTGCAAGCCTCCCATCTCCTATGATATGGTACAAAGAGGACATCTGAAGGTCTAACCATGACTTATCATGATGCCTAGATATTAGCAGAATGTAGGTGATTCTCACTGTGGTTTAAGACAGGAATGGGCAAGTGTAGATTTCCAGATGTTCTCCTATTATAGGAGGAATGGAAAGGGGAATTGAACAAGCCTGCACAAGCCCGAGGCTTGTGTATCTGATGTTACAGTATGGTATAATAGTAAGTCCTAGATCTGAATGTATATTTTGACCCTCATACTTGCTTGCATCATTAGTTTGTTTCCAAGATAAAATGGAAGTAAGAAGAAACCACACATATCACTCTGAAGCCTTGAGAGAAAGAGCAGGGTTAAAATAAGAAATGCACAAGATGTATTAATAAAGCAGGTTACACCTGTCATCCTTTGAAATCTGTGGCTATATAGAATAAGCTTAAATGGTGATCTTATACCTTCAAGTGCCCCAGAATGTGTGCTTAGCTTCAGGCAGACTTTACCTTTTATAATCTTTAAAGATAATATGTTGCTTTGATGCTTCAACATTCTAGGCCAATAGACTTGAAGAAAAAGAAAGGCAGCAAGAACAGCAAAGACAGCAGATGCTTGAGGAAGATCACTATTTGTAAGTTGAGCTTGAACTTAAAAGAGATAGATACTAAAATTCGAAAGATGGTGTGTTTGATTCCTCGCACAGATGTCTACCATCCATTCCTGATAAGCTAACGCTATCCCTTCATCCTCACATGTGGCTTTCTGGTCTCCAGCAACTCTGCTGTCGCTCAACAACTGCTCCCATTTTCCTTTTGCCTGATCATGTCCCAGGTGGTACAAGTGAGACGTTTTGCCTCTTGGCTGAGCCTTTTCTTCTCATATTAGTTACGTTCTTGATTTTACTATGCTGCCACAAAAGAGGTTTTGCAAGGTAACATGGGAGGCTGAAATTTGTATACATGCTCTTGTACAAATCTGGAAATGCATACGAAGGCTCTTGATATGTTTAGAATGGATAGAGTACTTAATTTTCCTAGCGTAATTGGGAATGGTCTGTATTAGTCCGTCTTCTATAATTATTTGGCCGTGGCATTATTTCAATCCATTATTTTCAAGGATTACTTAAAATAGGGAGCAAAACATTATTCTTACATTTGAAGCAGAATTTTTCCAGTGCTCTAAAATAGAAATGCTATATCCTTGGACAAAATCCTGTTAGTTTATTTATTTATATTTATTTATTTATTTGATTTTTATTCCGCCTATCTGGACCAACGGTCCACTCTAGGCGGCTTCCAATATAAAATCAGAAAGTAAAAACACTGTCAAATACATAATAATACAAAGCGACTGCAATAAAATAAAAATAGAAAAAGTAAGGGAAAGTCAAGAATTGGCTGGAGGGAAGGCCTGGATAAACAACCATGTTTTTAATTGGGTTTTAAAGATGCCCAGTGTAGGGGCCGTGCGAATCTCTGGAGGGAGATTGTTCCAGAGGCGAGGAGCCACCGCCGAGAAGGCCCGATTTCGTGTCTTCTCCTTCCGGGCCTCTCTTGGCATCAGGCTCCTCAGCCTCACCTCCTGGCTCGCGCGGGTGATCCGGGGAGACCTTGGTGGAAGCAGGCGTTAGTGTACCTTTGCACCAGTTTAACCTGAATCATATGCTGGAAATGTTTGATTAAAATGACTACAAAGCTTCTTATTCTCTCGTTTCAGGTTCCAAAACCCCCTAGTGCTCCCTTTTAACCTGGGAAAGACTTTGGGAGTCTGGGGATGGGCAGGAGCTTTTAGAAGTCAATGATCACTGCTGGATCACCACATAAAGTCTCAGTCCCAACAGTGGCAATTTGTTTTACAATTGCAAAGCTCCCACCCTCCACATCCTGAAGCTCCCAGGCCAAAAGGAGCCCTGGAGAGCCTTGGAACCCCAAATGGGTGGCCGGGGGGCGGAATGTACAGGAAAGTTTCAGTTAGCTTTAGTTAAATGTTTCTAGTGCCCAATCCAGGTTACACTGGCACAGTTATGCAACAAGGATTTTCCCTTTCATTGCAATCACACATTAAACATTAAAAGAAATTAAGTCATCACTATAAAGTTAGGAAAGCTTCCAGAGAGAACATTCTAGAGCAATCTCAGACCAGAAGCTCGCTCCTGGTGATGAAACCCTATTATAAACCTGATGATGGCAGAATGTTCTCTATTAAAAATTCCATAAAACAAGAAATGTCATCCCCTAAACATGAATCACTTTATTTTAATCATATATCTATTTGATTAGGGTGATAAATCAGAAAGTGTTTGAGATGGAAAGAAGCATTTTAATTTTTTAAAAGTCCCTTAGGAATAAGTGATTCAGTTGCTAGTTACCTCTCAGTCAGAACTGGCCCAAGAAACCTGCTGCCTGAAGCAGACTAACAAATAATGCTTTTTTAAAAAAATGTTTTTAATCTTTATTGAAAGAACATGGAAAAAAACAACAAAATAACAGTACAGGTCTTTCACTAGAAATGTATAATCTGAAATAGTACCTTCATAGCATTATAATCTGTATCAGATTAGAATATTGCAGCAAAGATTGACATGGGAGGCTGGTTGAAAATAAGTCTTGTTATTCTTATATAATAAATAAAAGACAACCACATCTTGAAAAAATAATCTTAGGATTACCTAGCATGGAATTGGCCTTCTTCATTGCCACCACACACTGGGTTAACACTTTCATCGAGCTGTCCACCAGCACACCAAGGTCTCTTCCCTGATCCATCACAGACAGCTCAGAACCCATTAGCTGATAAAGTTTTGATTTTTTGCCCCAATATGCATTCTATTACTCCATGAATATAAAGATAAATTAGCAGTTCCCTTCCATTTTGTGGCAATTTCCAAATGTGCTACAATACATTTTATTTTTAAAAATTGTTTACAAATTAGCTGTTGGATATTGCCCGAAAATAAGACAGGTTTTTTGCCCCAATATGCATTCTATTACTCCATGAATATAAAGATAAATTAGCAGTTCCCTTCCATTTTGTGGCAATTTCCAAATGTGCTACAATACATTTTATTTTTAAAAATTGTTTACAAATTAGCTGTTGGATATTGCCCGAAAATAAGACAGGCAACCTAGATCTGGCAACCTTC